TTTATTTTTCTCATACTGCCTGTGCTGCAGCACCTCTTTTCACCCTCTGTCTGAAACCAGAGCCCAGTCTGCTCTGATTGGTTAGCTGGTTGTGATTTGTCAACCAGTGAGAAATGTTCCGCCCCTCGGCCTATCTTGTACAATGTGTAGCCAATAGGAGCGCGAGTGTTACTTAGTGATGTCACTGTTACAGAAGTAAACAAAGGAGACCAATGGATGCATCTCAGGCAGGGAGGGGGAGGAGCTCTGGGATTGTAGCCTTTGCAGACCATTTACATGCACAGAAACATATAACACACTAAAGGAAATGTTAACCCCAAAAAGCAAAAGAGGCCCCCTTTAAAATCAGGGTGCACTTTAAAAAAAATAAAAATAAAGAGGGTACACATCAGGGTTTTCTTTTTATGTATTTGCCTTTTATTTATTTTCCTGATTGAAATTTATTGTAAGGTCATAATTTGTCATTCATCACATTACATGGCATGATGCACCAGGTCTACTACACCCATTTACAGGAGGAATACACGGAAACATACACAAGGTTTTACAATGGGGAACAGGAAGTTAGCTCATTGCACTTACAACAGTGAATGGAACACTTTGTAATCATTTGTAGGCTCTCAACCTTTTTTCTGTAGTTTATTTTCACCCTCTTTTTTTTTCATTCATTTTGTTGGGTTATTTTTTCACCATCTAACCCTCTTCATCTCCACCCCCAAAAAAGAAATCTGTCCACCCTGAAAAATTACATGGAAGCCAGATATTTACCCCCCATTTTTTTAATGTTTTCGATGTCATCTCATTTTACAAACACAACATGTATAGAAACTCTACACAGACCAATATATTTTTTCATTTTTTTTTTTCATTTCCCAATACAACTTGTTTAATGAGTCCGCAAGAGCCAGCCACTAACGTACACAATGCGATTCTTGTCAAATCTAAAACTCTTGTGTTTCATGTAGTGTGTGTGGTTTTTATACACACACAGTTTGGGCAGGGTGGCTTGCATACGCTCCAGCTTGTGTCGCTGTGTGGTGTGCAAAGGCTTCTCTCCTGCCTGTGTGTGTGTGTGTGTGTGTGTGTGTGTGTGTGTGTGTGTGTGTGTGTGTGTGTGTGTGTGTGTGTGTGTGTGTGTGTGTGTGTGTGTGTTGTAGTATGTTAGTGTGTCGCATAGAACACATCCTTCATGGCATTTACATTTAGTTCTCTTCTGGTATTTACACTGGAAAAAGATGGCAGCCCGAGAGGTGAAGGTCAAAGGTCAGGGGGTTAAAAAGGTTGAGGGGTGGGGGGTGTCCAGTTCATGCACTTTACTTTGATGCTTCATTACAGGTGGAACATGAATAACAGCTCTGTGAATGATGGACTGTTTATTTCTGTCTTTATCACACCTCTCACCTATGAAACATTTACTCTTTTATAGATTTATATATATATATTTTGATGTGTTTTTAAATCTTTCTCCATTCCTACACTACATACTGTACAAGCATTGTTTGCTACCTTTTTGGTTGAGAACACACAGTCCGGTTTCCCAAAAGCACTCGAAGCTGCATTTGAATACCGTGGACTGTTTTAACTCTTTGTGGTGCTAAAAGTCATTTCAGCACCACAATCGGTTTGTCCTTATTGCTGAGAGTCTTGATGTTGGATAAGAAAATGAGTAAAGACTTCTTAGATTTACATTTTTAAACATAGATCTGATCCAAATGACCCATGGAATCAGTTTGAACTATATTCCTCAAAGAAGCTATTCCTGACCAGATCTCAATTCAATTCTGGTTCTATCTTCTATTATGGACTACATTTGTGCTTCCAACACATCTGAAAAAGCCGGCTGTGGCCCAGTGATTTTTGCTTTGCTGTGGTCTGATCTTGCGCTCCAGGATATAAACAGACCCCATGCAGAGTATAGACAGAGACCACGACTAGAGGGCAGTAACAGGATGGCTTTCTTCAGTAACCAGTATTGTAGTATAAAGCCCTTGCTGCTATGCATATTGACGTCACCTTCGGTGGCTTTCTTCACACAGGAGCAACAAAAGTGACATTTTGCACACATTTGACACAGACCCCAGCCTTAAGAAGGTCCATTTGTGTCGTAAATTGTCCAATTTATTGCACCTGCATAAACAACGCTATATTTCTCTATATCTCAGTTAGGATGCTGCATTTTGTTAGTGCTTTCCTGAGGCAAAAGTGATTGAAGAACATTTTTATTTAACTTTTTACAAACCTCCAAAAACATACGACATAAAAGAGAGAAGGTTGGTAATAATCGGGATAACTTGAAACTTTCTCTCTCATGATTTGCTCTAGTTTGATACTCCTTTAAAGCTTCCAGGGAGAAGTCACTGATCTTGTTGCAGTGTACGGCAGCTTTGTATCTGAATGATGACCTAGCATTCTAGCGTTTTTCAATAGCCTCTAATCTCATATATTGTTATAAAATAAAATTGTTGTGTCTATATATTTCAATACCTAAACGTCTTAACGACCCAAGCATCATTGAGCACCAGGAAAAGTGCAATATAAATACCATGTATTATTCTTCGACTCTTCTTCATCGCTCCTGTCTTTCATCAGCTTTCTATCCCCTCTCAGTATGATAAAATACATTCTGACATAGATAAATCCTCTCATAAATGTCTCACAAAAAAAATATATACTGGTTTGTTTTACACAGTGACTTAAAAGAAAGTGTAGGAGTTGGGAGATAAACAATGTGTTATACTTCATAAACCACTTCTTCTTAAATCTGTTATCTTTTCAGTAATTTCCGTTCCAGTGTATTTAGCTTATAAATCCTAAGTGTGTTGTGGCAGTTCATCTTCAAACACCAACACTCTCATCAGTTCATTCAATTCAGGAATGCCTTGAAAAGTTCAGTATTTTGTGTCTAATATAATATAGTGTCATCTTATCTATCATGTGTATACATTTGTATTTGTACGGCTTTTGAGTATCTTAAATATTCTTTAAATAGTTATTTCTCTGCAAACAGCGAGTGCACACATGTAGACAATAACATGACATGTTGGGTCCTGCTTAATAAATAAAAATAAGAAAAAGAGGAGCATTTCTTCTTCTTCACCCCTGAGCAGTTACAACCTATATTAGGGAATGTATTGAGATCCTTATTTATATATTTATATTCTATATTTATATAAGTCTTTCCTTTTTGTATTTATAAATCTCTGGACAACTTTTCTGTGTACCCTGCGCCAAAAAAGCAAATTGGCCTTGTTTGCGACGTTCATAAAACCTGGGATTTTTCATATCTTATGGTAAATGCCCATTCAAAATGTATTCTTATTATATTTTTTTCTTTCTTCTTTAATATTGGTGTTTAGAACAGCAAACAGACTCTTTTTTATTGTTAAGCATCCTATGTGGACTTTTTATTATTAACTTTAGGTTTATTATTATTTCAAATTCTCCTTGAAAATGACGTTGACCTATTTGTTGTTTGAATTTTTTGAATTGTATTTGTATTGCAAATAAAGAACTGCTAGACCTCAAATCATCTTAACAGCAACACTCCTTTCTTGCCTATCATTGCCATTTCCCAGCTACCATGAACACATCTTCACAAAGAGACCCCAGTTAGGGAGGAGAGGATTACCACGAGTAAAGAAAAGACCCTTCTTATAATTTCCTAACCTACCGGTGAGATATATTATACACACTTTCACAGAACCTCCTTATTTAGATTTATGAGGAATGCCAAACCAAATGGATATTATTAGAATAACTCAAGTGTGATAAACAATGACTTTTCCCATTGGTGTGTATTTTCACTTTGCTTTTCTTCCTCGTGTTTTGACCAAATATGATTCATTGCATAGAAGGACTGGAGATGAGAGGTCGCCTCTTCTGCCCACCATATTTGTCGTGGTTGAACTCGTGTTTTTTCTTTTCTTTTTTCCACATTGGATGATGGCCTTTAAATACACGCATACAGACCCCCACACACATACATACAAACATTAGGAACAGAACAATATAGAGGTGACCTTGAGGTTTTCTGCGCTGGGCGGCATGCGAAGGTTCCCAGCGAGCGTTCACACAGACAATATACAGCAGAAGTTGGTTGGGTTTTGTTGGTTTTGCTGAAGGCCTCGCAATGTTTGGCCCGACAGTTTTTTGAGTACCGAAACCGAAGATCCCACAATGCACTGCAGGAGCGACAGCAGGGAGAACACTGACCTGAGAAGTTTTTCCATGACAGTCTGAGAGAGAAGTTTTGGGGGGTTTGGTCTTGGACGCCACCATGATAGAAAACGAAAAGTTAAAAAAAGGCGAGTGACTCTGTGACACAACCAAGTGTGTTATATTTGGTTCCTCAGTCACGTGAGTGCTTTTTTTTTTTTTTTCGTTCTTTTGACACCGTGTGCTTTCACGTGTGCAGTGAGTGAAGACACATGCTGATACACACCGATGTGTAAAAGGAGCGTGGCGGTGCTCCTAAAGAACGTCCATGTTGGATTTTCAGAGAAATCACATTGAACCCCCGCAGGTGAAAAAGTCCAGTTCTGCCGCAATGTGTGTCTGGTCTGCGTTTCAGTGCCTCTCTGCTGCCCTGCAGTGCTTCACATCGACTCCAGCTTGCCAACACAAGCAGCGCATCACACTTCCTGTGAGTGAAGACGTGATGTCTCACTGTTGGTCGTTGGAAGAGATCTGGGGGGTATCAAACGTGTGTTTATAGGTGAGCTCCTGCTCTCTTATGAAGAGTACAACAGTAGAACATTGTCAGAGTACGTTGGTGGTGGTACGTTTAAGCGTTACATCAGTGGTGTGTAAGACAGACGGAAGCAACACGTTTCTACTCCACCAACTTTTTAAATGACACACGATTGTGCTCTTCACTTCCTTACCTCTTACTCTATTGCTTTTATAGGTATTGATAATAAATAAGAGTCAGTAAAATTGACAGGATGAATTCAGTACAAAACATAAATTAAATAAATAATATCACTAACGATTATCAAAAACAAAGTTAAAAAATATAAATTAATCTCACTGTGGCCAGTGTTCCAGCAGATTTAACTACATAAACAAGAGGTGTGATGAAAATATGTGTTTACAGGGTTTAATAAAAAAGATGTCGCTTCAAAATAAAATATTTAAGAATGATTAAGGCAATATTGGTTACCTGCAACATAAAAACCAGCAATAAAGAACGTAATTGAAACACAGGATATGATGACCACCAACAGCAACATGAGGAACATCTGAGAGCCAAATGTTGTGGAGCAGTTAGAGGAACCCCATCACCACAAGCACTGCAGGTGAATGTTGTCTTAATGGCTTTGTAATGGCTGAAAAACAACCCGACGACATACAGTTTCACTCCAAAAACCAATCCATATTTTTGTCTTAAAAAAAACTAAAACAAGGCTCCTCTTATTCCCGTGGCCCAATTCCTGTGTGTTGCTCCGGAAATCTCTTAATCGTTAACGTCGTCTAGCTAAGTGTTTCCAAGTGTACTTATAGCCTCAGTTAAGTAATGATGAACAGTGTAAGGTCTTGGATATAAAGTTCCATGCATTCCAAATTCCTTTTTTTTTTTTTATCCACTATACACTTCTTTAAAGACATGGCAAGTTGGATCATTGGGCGGGGATTGGAAATGAAGAAGAATCAGCATTCAAGAAAAACGCAGAGAAGTGAGGAAGAGCGGGAGCAAAAGGTCTAAACAGTTCCAATCTGGAATGTAGATAGAAACAAACCGTGGAAAGAAACGCGAACCGACAAACACGGACTGTGGGTCGGCTACGTCGTTAGCTTTGTCTTTTTCATTCAACGTGACATTTCCTTTAAGTGACAAGAGGTCTGTAGTACCAGAAAAAGCTGCAGCAAGTTTTATTCACATTTTCCCCGCTCTTTTTTTACTTTGAGAAGAGATAGAAAAGAGGAGAGAGGTGGGTTTGTTCCTAGTTTGAGCGCAGGACTGTGAAACCAAGGATCCTAGCATGCCACCATGCCTGTTGTAAAGCAACCGTTTCTTGTAAGCAGGAAGAAGGAGCTCTCGTATAAACAGTGGCGTCGTCAGCGTATTGGCGACCATCTTGTTATTCCATTGCAACTGCAGGTCAGATCCAAACGGAGGACTTAGGTGGTGCATGGCTACCATTGGTTTTACTCGTCTTCCAACAACTGTGTAGATCTCCGCTGGTGTTTAGCTCCCTCTACTGGCATGGAGGAATAGCCGCATAAACACATTTTGACTTTTGGCTGCCAGTTCTTTTCAATGAATGGCGGAGAAACTGCTACAGGTGGTTTGGAGGGCTCCGCGGTAGTTTGATGGAGACTAATTATTTGGCTGGGAAACGCTGGGTAAAGCATGGATGTTGGGTTGGCATGATCTGTAAAGAAACACAAAGGTAATTTAGTCCATTGAACACTAACCCTGCATGTTATTATAATATTCATTGATACAAATTCGATATGTGCATATTCACTTGTCTCTCCACTGAATGTGTGTCCTATAATTAATATTCACCTTATTTACAATATAAGACTACAATATTCTCATATATAAATAGCATAGCAAACATTGTGTAGCACATAACAACAGCTGTCCTTCCAATTTGGAGGGTCAACAATTTATAGAAGCAAACATTGTGTAAGGTCACACAGCAGTTGAATAAAGGAAGAATGTCTGGGTGCACCATGGATGTATAAAGAGAACTGGGACCCCGTTCATTCCTATGAAAGTTGTTCAGTGGCACATGAAGCCTGACTCGAGAGCAAAAGAACCCGTATCTGTGCCCATAGAGCGACCAATGCATTAACAAGATTCAATCAATGGCATATGCAGGGTGGTTTAGTTGAAGCAATGATTCAGTGCTGTGATCTTCATCTACAGAGGTTTCTTGAGTTTTAAAGGGGACATGTCATGGATATCTTCTGTGCACATATGTATGTTTTGGTATCTGGAATACCCACCAACCCACAAACAAATTGTAGACAACTTTGCAATTCTGTTTTTAGGTTCAACAAGCCATTCAGATTCTGCTCCCCTTCCTATGTCACATGTAAGCTCATTAGAATAAACCTTCCTTGTATTTAGCCAACGCTTTTATCCAAAGTGACAAAGTCAACATGTCCGGTTTAAAGCTGCTTCAAAGTCATGTGAGATCCATGCATTTAGTTTGGGACTCTTTAAAGACACACGGTCAGCCTTTCTACTCAAATGAAGGGGATTGCTGTGTAGAGCTGTAACAGTCACATTGGCCACTAGATGGTGGATGAGCCAAAGAAATGCACTGCTGATGTACAGTACACCAAAGATTTAGAATAATAACGGGAATGATGACGGCCTTGTATCTGCATTCACCTGTTAATGTTCGTATTCGAAGCAGCGTTGAGTTCAAGCAGGGTAACATTCATGTGGTGTATTATTTTTTATCAACCATTGCATCCTTGCTACATGAATTCTGGCCTTTCATTTGGTTTATTATGAGAATCAAGATTGTTGCCTTGAGATCTTCCTACTCCTAGCTGCGAAGAGTGATAATGAGTGGAAGCAGAAGCTAAGGTAAAGAGTTCTTCTCGTCAAGAAAATAGTGTGAAAATGCCAGGATTAATCCAAATATTTAACTCATTTGAGCCAACCCCAATTCCTTTTTTTTTTTAAATGAGTATTTCCAGCATGTACAAACTGTAATGAGCAATAGAAACACAGGTCCAGGTCACTTTAAGAACATATCACCAACTGTCTACATAATGGGAAAGGCACATGATATCATACTACCTGAGAGTACAGGGAAGTAAAGTCCTTTTTAAATTAGCTTCACAGCTCTGAGGCCTTTCATTGTGCAGACTAACACTTCTTAGAGATTTCTGCCTTAGTATTTCCTCAAATAGGGAGCTGCACATACTTTTTTTTAAAGTCTTGTTTGGTCAGAGCCCTTCTCCCTGCTTCAGATCTCAGGGCGAACAGAGTGCGAGCAGAGTGCGAGCCCTTCAGGTTATATATAGACCCAGCAGTAATTAGCCCCATGCAGAACACCTGTGTACCCTGCAATTAGCAGCACCTGTGGCCTCCTGTGTCTCCACCATGTAATAAACCCTTTGTCCTGCAAATTACAATGAAATGCAAAAGTTCTTCATTTCGGTTCAGCATTGACAGCCAAGGCAGGAAGTAATCAGAATGAAGTAGTTCATAGCAAAGGTCTTAACAAAACCAGTATAATGTGCTTGGACATTGACACACAAAGACTTATGTTGTTATTTGTGTATGATGAACTGTATGTTTGTAACTAAAATGTGGAAGGATTCTTAAAATAGTATTAGACTAAAAAGGTATTAGACTTTGGGAGTTTAAATTCACATTTACAGGTTGCTTTTGTCCCCTCTATGATCTCATTGTTATTCTAGTATGTTTCCCAATTGAAAAAGGTATGGATCATTCTTGAATCACTGCCTTCTGGTTTTTCTCCCACTGTGCCTGACTCAGATCAACTGCTCCAAACATGCTGTATATTTACATTTGCCCAGCATTAGGTTGAATCTGTTCTAGTGAACAGGCTCCCAAAGGGCTGTAAACAGCAGACAGCAAACTGACTCACTGGAAGAGAAGATGGAGGGAGGGGAAACAACATGATATGACCAGGAGCACACAGTATGGACATTTAAATATGTTTACTTATACTTTTAATCTAGGTATGTTTGTCACGGATTAGGATAAAACGATATTCTAGATCTAGACAGAAGTGTGTTTTTGACAATGTAGTGTTTTTCCCAGTTTGTGTAAAAGAAGTTGACTTATACTGAGCTCTGACTTCAATCCCATCCGACACCTTAAGGCTGAATGAGAGTGAGTCAGGCCAACATTACTGGCCGACCTCACTAATACTCGTGTGTCTGAAAGGGAGCAAATCCCTGCAGCCATGTTTCAAAATCTTGTGCAAAGCCTTCCTCGAGGAGTGGAGACAATCCTTACAATATATTATACGCATGGTTTTAAAAACGAGATCTCATTTGAGTGTGTAATGTATGCTGTCTGGATACTTTTTGCAATAAAGTGTACGATAAAGGTGAAGACCGAGAGAGGAAGACATTTTTCCTCATGAGTGAGGTGGTGAAAGTAGAAAATGGTAAAGGCGGAGGATAGATAAAAAGGAGACATGCAGAGAAAAAAAATGACAATCCTGACAAACAGAGGAGAGCAGGGACAGGCAGCATGGAAGTGAGAGAGCGAGAGCAAAAGGAGAGAGAAGCAGTGATGTTTGACAGTGTGGGAGGAGAGAGACTCACATGAGGCAGTTAGTCAGCAGCGCTTGGCTGCACAGCACACAAAAACACGCACAGTCCAGGCTCAGTACATTATCTTTTATGGCACATATGCAACACTGTGCACACTGTGAAATACAGCAGCTACATCAATGCCTGCTCATTCCCCAGCGGTGCATCAAAAGCTTCAAAACACACTGCGCCAAAGGCAAAAGACTGCACGTCCAATCAAATAAAGAAGCTTGGATTTATTTATTGCTGCTTCTATTTGTACTGCCTCTACACGTATAAAACACATCTGTATCAGAGCCATGTCGTTACATTAGCTGACATTACGACCCACACCGGCCTCTCTACAATCCTTCATAACTTATTTGCAATATGTTTTCTTTGGTTTATGTTTGAAAAACATTCACTGTCAACATATTCGATTTATAAAAAATGAACAATTACTTTTTGGAGATTGCCAAGTTAGTGAACTAACTAATGTTGCCAGCAATGTAAGCTAGCAAACGTGAGTGTTAGGGTAGCTAACCCTGACTCCTACAAAATGACGTTTCACTGCTATTTTAAACCTCTGATTAATGCAAATTGAAATGAAACTAAAGAAAAACCCAACAGAACTACATGGTTATGTTTAGGTAGAAACTCCACTTGGTTATAGTTTTAAGTAAATATTCTGGTTTAGTCTCAAACAAGTACGTGTTTAACGTTGTTTAAATTGCGGACATACATTTAAAAATGTCAACGTGTACTTCCAGTTCCACCCGGGACAGGGATATCAGACTCCTGAGTTAAAGGTCTGTGTTTTTCTGACACACCCTCCCATACAATGTATGAATGAAAACATAATGTCTGGGGTATCTGGGATCGCTGATTTTAGAAGACGTGGAAGAAGGGTGCTGTAGCACTGTTGCATTAAGGAGTTAAAGCTAGATCTTTTTAGCCAATCCTCAGGCATGGCATAACTAGGGTTGCAAAATTCCGGGAATTTTCAAAGATGGAAACTTTCCACAGGAATTAACGGGAATAAACGGGAATTTAAGGGAATAAACTGGGAATTTTCAAAATTGAAGGTTGGCTCTTCATAGGGAACTTAAATATAGTTGGGGAAAGTATATTTTAGCATAATCTTGACTAAAACAAACAGATGTCATTCAAGTACACTTGAATATCCATGCCATAGCACACTGCTTACTGCATGGCTATTGAGACCACACAAAGGTTCGCAACAGGCTCACAAATGTGAGAGTGGAAAAACTGGTTGGCATTCGGGCAAACCTAAGGCTCTCTGAGCCTGACACGGCTGCTGCCCTTCCTTGTCGTCTGAGTGTTTTCAGCTGTGTGTGTTCTATGTAAATGAGCTGTGCGGTTGCCCTCCCGTCATTGGCTGCCATCTCCTTGTCCGCCCCTGAAGATTGCGATTGGAGCACACGCCGGGCCCAACGCACTCCAATCGCAGCGCACAGCCGGCGCACACCTAGCTAGGAGATTACTACAAAGCTTTGGGACAATCATCATTCTGGAGGCTCTGTATGTGGACAGACGCCTCTCGCTACTGGCTCCTTAGTGAATTCTGTTGAACTGTGGTTAAACTTGTGTGATTAGTAGTGTCAGTGGGGTTGGGGGGATGAGTAATATTTAACTCAACATTCCTGTTTTCGTTCTTCAATGAAACAAATAATTGTTCAATAAAATAATTAAAACTTGTTCTGTTCTACTTAAAAAAAATAAAAAAATCTGTTGAAATGTCATGTTTTTTTGTTTAATTTTGCATCGAATATTTATAAAATTCCCCAGCTTAACTTCCCATGGAAACGTTCCAGAAACTTTCTGGAAATTTACCGGAAACTTTCCGCCCCTTTGCCACCCTAGGCATAACTAAGATCCTTTAGGAAGAGTTTACAAAGAAATTGCTTTTAACACACTTTTCACTTTTTGTCTAGTCTATATTTAGGTTTGAGGTCTCAAGGTCCCACCTAAGAACTAATTCTGACTCCAGCGATGTTGTTATCAGAGAAGATAAATATACCTTGAATATTTTAAGATTTTTACAAGCCATCAATGTGCAATGACATCACAACCTGAACAAGTGAAAACCAATCCAAGACATCTCCATTTGTTGGTACAAAGTCCCACATGGACTGGTGATTAAAGACGATGATGCCACTTTAGTTTTATTTCTAGCAGGGGTTTACTTTGATTCTTCAAGATGAGCTACAAGCCTGATTGTGATCTTCTTTGTTTGATGTTTCATTGTTCCTGCACTCTAATATGATGAAACAAATGGCAGTTCATTAATCATTGCCATGCTCTTGGAATGCAAATGACTTTTGCTGATGTATTTCTGGCTGAGCTGACTGCAGGCTTTTGAACTCACTCAACCCAGAGGCCAGTGTTTTCGGCAGAAGGCCACAATACAACAGCTGCAAAAACACATAATCTGCCACAACACTGGCTTCGGGCTGAGCTGGAGGAACAAGCACAGAAAGCTTGTCTCCACATGACAACAATTGAGATATGAAGAATTGAAGATGTACAAATATCCTGGAGACAAAGGAATACGTAAACCAAAATTGTGTATTTTCTGCTCAGTAGATTAATATTGCTCTGGATTCGTTTTTCTTAAGTCCCCTCTGGAGTTATTTTGTTGGCACACAAACATTATATTTGCAATCAGTGTTAGTCAAAATTGATTGTATTGATATGCTACTGTAAGACATTTTTTTTTGTTTCACTAATTACCAACCGTTGGAACTGTGGAGACACCATCGTAAGTCAAAATGGCAGCAGCATTGGTTGAGTTTTTCTGTAACCGTCCACGTCTGTTCACATTTTCTTTTCCATTAACTTGATTTTAAACAATGCCAGAACCCATACTGAGTTACTGTTAGTGTTTCCTTCCTGTCTGTCTTCTGTTGATTCCTCTGACGTCCAGCGCTCTGTGTTTTAACCTGTTTCCTTCTCTTGCCCTGTTATTCTTTATTTCACTGGGTACAGCTCAGCCATCATGAAGTTTCCTGCTCTCAAATATGAAAAAAAGTATTCCAAGGTAAACCAATGTTTGTTGTCCGCAGCTAACGTTACATTTACCAGACTCCATTCTCCTAATTGATATGTCTATACATAGTCCTTTGATCCTCCTTTGCAACAGTCTGTTATCGAGTATTAACTTCTGAAATGTCCAAATTGACCAATCAGAATCGAGTATTCAAACAAGCCTTGTAATAACAGCAAATACAACATTTGCAAAGCTGATTTTGTATGTATATTGAATGCAACATTGTTCATCTATGTTGACTAGCTTGCCGTTTTCTTCTTCTTTTCCTTTGTTGGCGCACTGAAGCAGATACTATTATTTGACTATTATTGGTAAGGCGTAACAGCACTAGAAGGACTGTGCGCTGGGTCTAAAGGTCAAATGAACGTTCCTGACTTTGGTCCCCTTTGAATTTGACTTACTGGGAAAGTTTTATAGTTTAGTTTTAAAAAGATCTCTAAGGGATCAGTTAGGAAAAGTTGAAAGTAACTTACTGTCTGAACTGCCAGAGAGAGTGGCGTGTTCTCTCTGGCAGTGTGTGCTCAGGCCTGAGACATGAAGCATCCAGAGGATTCCAGTCCTTGTTGGCTGCAAGAGGAAGCAGCAGCGTTTCAGACCAGGAGATTTACCGGTACTTGATGGAAACATCCATCTTCTGATACAATCTGTACATCATTTATATATATATATATATAAGAAACTCTCAACGTGGTTCCCAATGTGCCCACAGGATATGTTGTCAAGTTCTATAGATACAGTATATGTTTAATTATATTATCGTATTTTTTGCTATTTTTCAAACATGTGAGAAAGTTAAATGTCCAAACTTTAACATTACCCATCATGAACATCATGAAACTTGCCACATTTGCCCCATTTCTTACACATTGTAATACTTGTGTTAGGGCTGGGGTTAGGGTGGCAATAAAGAAAATGATTTCCTTCACATTTTTATAAAAGTCACCATAATGCACCATTAGTTTTGGACTCTTTAAGTCCAAAAGGCTGTGCTCATTTCATATAGGGGTTACGGTAATTACCAGTTTCTGATTTGTTTATAGTCTAAAAGCTCTGATACATATCTCTTGAAGCATAATGATACATAAAACTGACAAGCAACCAAACACAGATGCATCATGTAAGCTAAGAACACATCTCAAGGTAATGAAACCCACATTTAATTGCTATATTTACCTTTTTAACCTTTAACCAACTCTCATATGACATCGATATGCTTATGAATGAGGCTTGGGTTTCACTGCAGCAGCTGAATTGAGCAATCAGCTTCCAGGATTGATGAATAGATACTTAGTGAAACTGTGGTAGCAGACACATTTGCATAAATCAGTGTTTTCAGGTTAAATGACAATTACGGTACTCACCAGTAAGCTCGGCTCTCCTCTCTGTTCCCTTCTCTCTTCATCATCTTTCTCTTTTTTAGTAAATTAAAAGCAGGGAAAATTCCACAGGTTTGTCTGGTACAGGGCCTCGTAGCTGTCATTTCACATTTACATAGTCCTGCAAAAACATGGAGACATTTGAGCATGTAAAGAAGCCTCCAGTCATATTAAGAATGGTCTTTGAAAATGTCAAAATCAGCTAAAGTCAAGCTGCAAATGCTTCACATCCCTCGACGTGGTCCATTCAAATTGCATGATACAAGATGGAGCCCGATAATAAAATATTCAACATATGCGGCCATGCAAGGACTTTTGCAAGCTGTCTTATGTATTTTTTATTGTTCTGCTATTTTAAAACATCAAAGCTTGGTTTCACGGTTTCATGATTTCATGATTTTGGAAAGTCCAGTCTCAAGTATATAAAATCTCAAAACAGTCATTTCACAATAAACACATATCAGCTGGAATTATCTGCTGTAAACAAACAACTCATTTGAAACAGACAGTGAGTCATAGAAGGAATAAATTGTCATTGTCAAAATATATAGAAAAATAAGAATAGACTGAGAATAGAGCACACAGACACTTAGACATAGACACGCTGCTTTAGGAACACACAGTCTGTTCTGAGTAAACCACTTTGAAGCCGCCCACTCGCTACTGCCTACAAGAGTCAAAACAACCCGGTGTAGCTATCTGTCATTATCCCACCAGCAACTTACAGATGTATTTGTGTACCTTATGTTGAGATGTTTTTGTTCACTGAAGAGAAATATAAATGTTTCCAGCTTGTTGTACGTGAATCATTGATCAGATCTACTGCTGCTGTCCGATCATTATCTTCAGAGAAGCAGACAAGTGGTCTTTGCTTTCTCACATGTACAGTCATGAGGTTATACTTTATTTAACATTATTATGACTTATATTCAAAAGAGTTCAACATAAATGATCTGCGAGGAGTTCATCCTTTTAAACTACTCGAGGGAAGCTGTTTTAAACGTAAGAACCTCAGCTACAACCTTTCCCATAAAACAGCAGCCCCTGTACACCATTAATCAACTTCCTGTTCCAGAGTGTGTTCAGTTCTGCTTCTCTAATGAACAATCCGGCTTCTGCAGGTCTAACTTTGCACATACATACTGTAAGACAAATAAACCAAAGAAAAGACATACCTTAATATAAGCACCTCAGAAGAAAGAGGTGAGTTTCTTGCCCAAACCGCTTATAGCTAAAAGAAAGCGTACAAGAAAAGATGTTAGCTGATGGGTGAGAACTGAAGGACTCAATCAGATAAAGGGTTTGCATTACTAATGATGTTTATTCTTAATGTGCAAGTACTGTAGATTAAAGGCATGAAAATATTTGAGTTTGGTTGATGCGCAACTTGAAAGCTCTTTTATCAGTTACTACTATCACAGTTCAATTGTGATGTCATGAGGTGGTTTTGCCTTTTTATAGCGTTTTGTGTTTATTTGATTTGCTTATCTGTAGTTATTGTTTGTCTCTGTATCTGTTTTGATTATTTTTGTTGTAGTCTGTCTGTAGTTGTTTTGTGTCTCTTTCAAGTCCTATTTTTAACTCTTCAGTTAGATGTTGTGTCGTTGTAGTCACGTGTTGTCTTTCTGTAGCTGTCTTGTCTCTCTTGGTAGCCATTTAGCATCTCTTCGTTGTCCTTTTGTCCATCTCTGTAGTTATTTTGCATCTCCTTGTAGTTATTTTATCCCTTTCTGTAGTTATTGTACGTCTCTTTGTAGTTCTGTGCCTCTCTGCAGTTATTTTGCATTTTTTTGTTGTTGTTTGAATGACTTTCTAATAAGTAAATACTAGTCACCTGTGCCTGTGTCAGTAATCCATCCAATTAATATTATTTAGGGCACGTTAGGAAGTAAAGTATCTAGTTTGACAAGTGCCTTCCTCCAAACATTTTTAGGCTATTAACAAGGTGATGATCAGCAGTTGATACCTTATTAACATGACTGATGTCTTAAATTATATCAGGGCCAAATCAGTTATTTAAAATGTGCTGTTTTTGGGTGATTTGTATGTCGTACCATCCCCCAGTTTGCCGGCCTGCTCAGCGGCGTTTCCAGGGAGGATCTTGGACAACATGCCGTCTCCCTCCATACCAGGCACTCCTGCTGCTGCACTGCCAATGCCTCCTGGCCTAGGAGCTGCCTTGGAGCCTGGACAGGAAGAAAACAGAAAGAGGAAGGGAGGACGACGGGAAAGTGGAAGGAGAAATTAGAAATGGAAGGGAAAGGAGAAGAGAGACGTTTCCAGAGGACAAGAGATGTTAGTTTTCTTTTTCTACGATGAAATCTGTGGTGTTAAATGCTCTGTGTCTTGTCATTGCACTTTCCAAAGATCCCTTCAAACAGAGTGGGCAGTAATATGATGTCTTAACCTTCACTAGTTGCTCCTGTGAGTCCACTGATACAGACTCTTGACTTGATGTGTCGCATGTAACTAACAGACTACTTAACAACACATCTAGACAGAAGGACAGACTGACTGACCACACAGTGATATCAAAGCGTTGATATTTGTCTTTGGTTCAAATGTTTTTTATAGAAGACTTTATGTGCTTTAGTGTGACATTTATCCAAATAAGTTTGTTTTTGGGTGAACCCTTGCTTTAAGGATAGGGAAGTTTATTTTCAATATTTAATAATCAGAAAATGAAAACAGTCAGTCAAATAAATAACTAATAGTTTTCTTTTATGTAGCATTATATTTATTATTATTATATATGTGTATTTGCTGTAAAGATATTAAAACAATTGTCGGAATTGTTGCCTATTATCTGTTAATCATGTATGTTTGAGGGACATCAGATCCACGCATTTGATAAAAAACTGTTATCCAGAAATGTTCTAATAGATTTCACGACCTACTCAACTAATTGACTGAATTACATAATACCAAATTAATTAACTGACGAACTCTGACTAAACACAATGAGTGTGATCCGCTGCCATGAAGTGAAACCCCTCCTGTGTGATTTCCACTGTGGGATTATGTGCAGATAAATCTCAGATTAGATGAGACAGCACACAGCGGCTACATAATACAGACACAGTGGGCAGCAGCTGGCAAAGCGTGTGAGTGGTGGGAGTCTCTGTGTGTGGTGATCATAACTGTACCTATGCCTGTGAGGGGGGGCAGGGCAGCTTTTGCGGCAATGACGGGCGCTGCCTTCGCTCCAATCACTGTTACTGGAGGCGTGTCGATCTTGGCCTGGGGAGAGAGATGGAGATACCAAAATATTAAAACAGCAGGAGTGGTGCTGGGGGGGAAGCACTAAACTTAATTTAGCTACAAAAGGATCTCAGTGCTGTACTTCTTGCACAGTGAAACTGTTGGTAATTGAAAACAGTGGGTAGGAAACAGTTGTTCACATAATTTTCACACAAATAGAGAGAAGGTTGAGGGAGGGGTGACAGAGAAAACTGCTGCCCTATTGTTTGGTGTTGTGACATCTCACTGAATGACATGAATGATGAGTTTTAACACCGATAACACGGCCAACTGTCAACTGTTATCAGGCCCATTCAGAATATAATGATTGAAGAAAAGATCATCCCATTTGCTTTGTTTCATGGTCAGGGGAATTCATATTTTTAATATGGAATAGCTTTTGGGAAATCTATTCATCATTGTAATTCAATCTAGGTGATATTTAAAATATACAAATATTAAATATCACTATATGTACTCAAAGGGGGCCCTATTGCACAATCCCAGGATGATATTTTTATTTTGTTCCTCTACTGTGACATGTTTACACACTTTCATGTACAAAAAGGTCTTTATTTTTCTCAACATTTTTCTGCCTGTGCTGCAGCACCTCTTTTCACCCTCTGTCTGAAACCAGAGTTCAGTCTGCTCTGATTGGTTAGCATAGCGATGACACTATGTTACAGAAGTAAATGAAGGAGTCTAATCGGGGGGTTTCAGCAGGGGGAATTTGGGGATTTTTTTGAAATTCATATATATATCTATAGATATATACATATATACATATATTCACATGATAGTAATGTTAGCACCCTTTTCAGTCTAGAATCATCTGATGGATTTCCTGTCTATCAGAGTCGTAGTATACTAGTATTTCTATCCCTGACTTAGGATCATTTTGCAGGGGTATTGTTATACTGTTTTCAAGGATCAAGAATATCTTTATTATCTCAGAGGGGCAGTTTGCTGTACAGCAAGCAGTTAGCACACCACCATCAGACAAACAATACACACCATATAAAGATCACTTTGAGATATGTATAAGGCCAATGGCAACAGGGACAAACTAGTTCCTGAGTGTATTGGTTTTGCATCTTGGCGGATTGTATCTGAAGCCAAACACAGGCAACTTGAACTCAGTGGCCTAGACAGATCACGTTTTGTTCAGCCGGATAATATCCACATGTGTACCCTACTTTTATAATTTTATGATCATAAATCTATCAATTAGATTTATGATTCGAAAATTATAAAAGTAGGGTAGACATGTGGATATTATCCGGCTGAACAAAACGTGAACTGTCTCTTCAATTTGTGTCAACCACAGACCTTATTGCGAGCTATTTTCCAAAATCCTATGGAGAAATTGCATTGTTTTTTGTCGAAGGAACCGGAAGTGGTAAAATGCTAACTTACTTCTGGGTTTTAGGACGCGTCACTGTGGCACTCGGAAAGCTAGTAGGCTTGTCCTGAGTTATGTTTATTTTAATTACTATTCCAAAGATCAATAGTGAACCTTTAGGCATAAGTGCTTGTACTATTTATTATTTATTGAGCACATGTTCCTGCGTCATTGCTCCACCACTTGTTTTCATCTGAGTGGACTGTTTTGGACATTTTGATATCTGCTGAATCACTGTTGTGTTGCTGTGGTTCTTTCCATCTCTTCTCTCGACATGTAGAAAGACTAAATTACAGAGTCTACTGCTGCAACCCCAGGGAATTGCTTCAAGAAAGACGCAGAGCAGAGCTTGCCTGATATCTATCACTTGCTACAATCTGAACACAGGAAATATAGCCCTGTTTTGATCTCGACCATTTTTATGATCTTAATTTGTGTCCGATGTTTTCCGTTAATCTCTTTGTGTCACTTATTCCCATCCATAAATACACTTGACTTAAAAGACACTGGACTGATGCCACACATTTCTGTATTTGTTCCAGTTTAGCTGCAGAAAGCAGAGGTGGTGCATTATGATTCACTGTGCAGCATTTTCTTATTTACAGCCACTTAATCAATGATTTTAATTACACAATGGACGTAACATCTGGGTGTAAGTGTATGAGTTTCCAGACTGAATAATAAACAAATGACGCATGCCATTTACTGTTTATGGCTTCCTGTCAGAGCTTTTCCACAGCAGCATTCAGAATAATTTCCTAAACAAATTCCTGCATCATTTGATATCAGACCATTTGAATTATTTCAATTTGCTTTCTGATAGCACAACAATGCAGCAATATGAAAATCATGGACGCCTTTCAGCAGTGAAAACCCGTTGTGAATAATTTTAGGAAATGGTGACAGTGGCTTTGTAAACCTCATTCGCAAAAAATGCACATTTGCTCCAGATGGAATAAATTCGGAAGAGAAATATTAAACAATGTAAATCTTTGTGTTACATGTCAGAATGAGGTTTTCAGACTGAAATAGAAAAGAGATTTGCATGGGTTTATGATTATAGAGTAAATGGAAGGTGCAATACATTTTAGCAGGGAGACAATTTTGGGTGCTAATTTCTTGAGCGTCTAGCAGACAGTGAATCAGCTACATTCAGTTATCAGCTGCCTGGGTGTTCATCGTAGTGTTAGATAAAGCCTGCCAACAGAGACACAGCAGAATTGAAATAAACAATCTGAACTCTGCGGAGATAGAGCAGCTCTCATCTCTTGGAGCGTGTAGGGACACAGGTGAGGGCGAAAACAGCGGAAACTAGCTAGCATCAGGGTGTTAAAATCTTAAGAGCAGGATGGATAGAGGTGTAAACTAATAATATTGACTGAAGCTATAGTGTTATTATTAGTGTTCCCTTTATATCAATATGGTACAATAAAACATGGAAATAAAAGCTGCAAGTCTTTTTTACATTTTTGAACTCTCTGTACTCACCATGTTTGCCGGCGTGGTTCCTGCGGGTCCGGTCTGCCTGGCCTGCCCCATGGGTCCACCAGCTGGTCCCATCTGTCCCGGCTTGGCCTGGCCCGGCCCCATGCCCATGCCCATGCCTTGTCCCTGGGCTGGGGGCTGCTGCTGAGGGCCCATGGTCGATGCAGCGCTGGGCTGCCCTGGCCTTGTCGCTGATGTCTGGGCTTGTTGTTGGAGCTGGGTCCTTTGTCCTGGAGCTCCGTCTGTCTGCAAACCTGGACCACCCTGGCGCCCTGATCCCGTAGGGCCCCCAGAGGAGCCCTGACCCCGAGAGCTGCTGCCAGACCTGGAGGAGCCTGGACAGAGGAAGGGACAGTGGATTATTTTTCTTCTTTTACAGCCGATACTATAAATCGATACAAAATATCAGCAGTAGAGTCTGAACCCTGCAGGCCTTAACAATATGTCACAATCCATGATGGCCTGATGGAATGATGGACTGCTCAAAGTAAACATGTGCCCTAAAAGGTTCTAATTTGACCAGTTCCTAGATAGAAAAACATTGACTGATATGCTCCAATCAGTGAGGTGGAACTTGGTAAAACAGCATTTAACCTACAGAAAGATTTATTGTTATTATCATGGCGTTTCAGGGTTTATTATTATTATTATTATCATTATCAATTGACAGGTGAGATGAAAGAGGGAATGACGTGCAACAATAGTTGTGAGCAAAGATCAAACCAGCAATTTAATGAATACATTGCTTAGAACAGAGCCAGAGTGCTGCCCTGGGAGAAAACATTTCCTTTGAAAAGTTACGCTTCATATAGTTAATTAAAAACTGTTGATCCCTTAGGGGACAGTTGGTTGTAAAAAAGCATCAAACTCATTCCTAGCAACATCGGGTATTAAATATGTCTGCCTCAAGCATCACAGCGTATTATTGCCACAATAATTATTTGAGGGCATGCTTTAGTTCAGGAAACTTAGTTTACAGTAGGTCTGTAGGATGCATTAATTCAATGTGGTTATTGGTCTTATTTTGGAGGGTGTCTTGGCAATGCATGCAGCAGTTATTAAGATAGCTCACTAATCTATAAAACAGATCGTGAATGAAAAAACGTCTTTATCTCTCTCTCCCTGCAGTGCCCCATTCCTCCAGAAAGAAAAATATTTCTGATGAAATCTTAGACCCTGTTCCATCTAAGCTGTTCAAGGAAATTGCACCCCTAATTAATACACCTGTATTAAATATGATTAATATATCTTTACTGTCAGGCTATGTTCCACAGTCATTTAAAGTAGCTGTAATTAAACCTATTATAAAAAAAAAAAAAAAACTTGATCCTGAGGTTATGGCCAATACAATTACAGGCCAATATCAAACATTCCCTTCCTCTCAAAAATCCTCGGGAAAGCAGTGGCCTCACAATTGTGTGCATTTTTAAATACAAATTGTTTATTTGAGAAATTCCAGTCAGGTTTTAGAAAACATCATAGCACAGAGACAGCACTGGTTAAAGTCACAAATGACCTGCTTTGTGCATCTGATAATGGACTTGCCTCTATCCTGGTTCTGTTAGATCTGAGTGCTGCCTTTGACACTATTGACCATAACATACTACTCCAAAGATTAGAGTTGTTGATAGGTATAAGGGGAACTGCACTAAGCTGGTTCAGGTCTTATCTATCAAAACGGTCTCAGTTTGTATCCGTCAACGATGAATCCTCATTACAAACTACAGTCAGTCATGGAGTACCGCAAGGGCCTGTACTTGGACCCATCCTGTTCATCATATATATGCCACCATTGGGCAATATCATAAGGAATAACTCCATCAATTTTTATTGTTATGCAGATGATACACAATTGTATCTATCAATTAAACCAGATGTACAATTTCCATTAGTTAAACTGCAAGAATGCCTCACAGACATAAAGACATGGATGACCAGCAACTTTCTATTATTAAACTCTGACAAAACATAAGTCATTATACTAGGCCCCCAGCACCTTCGGAACGAACTCTCCAACAACATAATTTCCTTTGAATTGTATTACCATGACCTCCAGCACGACGGTAAAAAATCTTGGTGTTATTTTTGACGAGGATTTGTCTTTTAAATCCCATATAAAGCAAATTTCAAGGATTGCCTACTTCCAGCTACGGAATATTGCAAAAATCAGGCACATCCTAAATCACAACAATGCAGAAACACTAATCCATGCTTTTATCACCTCCAGGCTAG